TAGCTGTTTCTGGAGGAAAAAAAGTTAATTTCTTCTAATTTACTATGCCAATTAAAACTAGGGAGGGCTTAGAAAACATTATATTGGAGGGTATATTTCTTTGCTGAATTGAAGTAAGCAAGTGTATAGTCAATATGTATGAGGTCCCTATATTGCTAACACTGTAATTTAGACAAAAGTGAAAAGAAAAAGGTTTTCTTCCTTAAGTTTGTCTTCATTAATCTAGCAGAAGGTTGCATGAACTGGGAAAGTCAATTGGAACACCTCCCTGAAAGATTGTTTCACTATCTGGACTCAAGATTAATAGGCAAAGGGAGTTTATTTGGCAGCCCAGGAAGACTCCCACAGCACTGAAACTTTCTCTCGTCTTTCTTTGTCACAGGGTAAGCTCATTCTACAAAATGAAACAGATGGCACTGAACATATCTTCAGCCTTAAAGGAATAGGGAAGAAACCTCTTGCATTGGATCATATCGTGATAGACTGCCAAGTGAGACAAAATACTCAAAAGGTCTTAATGGTGCCCAATTTTACCAAGAAAAAGCTGACATACAAGGTAAATTTATTAACCAGTAAACTTTGTCTTTGTGTCCAGGAGTCTGCAAATGATAGTATGAAAATAACAGAGTAAGAATATTGCCATAGTTGCTACATCATTACATTTTTGTAGCAGCAAAAAGTGATCCTTTATCTAAATAATAGGAGTAACGTTATTATGCTAATATTTTTATAGACAGGGAATCTGTTTATTGATGCATGATCTACTTAGTATATACTGTGTGAAGAGAGCTTAAGTCCTTTTATTTTCCATTGTTTCATTCAATATACTTGATGATTGGAGATTTTCCCATGTATAATTTACATTTCTATGACCCCTTTTTGTACTTCCACCACTATTTATCTTGTAAAGGGCATCTATGGTTTAGAAGGCTCAGTACTTCAAAATATTGAATGCCCAAAGATTGTTAAGGCCTGAGATAAAACTGTTCTTTTATCATGATTACATTTAGGCCTGTGCACGTGAAATTGTATTATTGGTATTAAAAATGTGTTAAAAGAAAGCTACCTAGATTGCAAAATCAAATGTTTGAAATATTAATAAGGTGCCAATTTTGTTGTCATTGCCCATGAATCCCTAGCTCTCCCCCATTCTGTAAACAATGCAGCTACTAGAGCTTCACAAGTAGCCTTTATAATGAAAAGTACTATGCCACTTAAGCATTACTGCTTTCTCCTGCTATGTGTCTAAACTGGCATATTGTCTGCTCCTAAAAACAAGTCTGGCCCCCTCTTCTGTGGGCATAAAGAAGCCCCAGTGATTTCTGTCATGCTAGAAGTTGGGGGTAGGTGGGCACTGGAGTGGAGATCAGGTCACCACCCCTAGTGCTATTAGTTTGTTAGGACTTGGGGAAGATTTGGACTTTGGTGAATAAAAATCACTAAGAGCTTTTTGTGGCTTGTACAGGGATGTCTTTAGTGAGTCTGGCAGTGCCACTGAAAAATAAGCCCTGCTCACTAGCTACTATTTATAAATGCCCAAGCCTGCTAAGTCAGTGTGGCAACCTATAGCGTATAGCCCAGGTCTGTGCTCAGGAAGGTGATGCAAACAAACCTTGGAATGCAGAACGTAAATTTCAGGGGAAGGTTTGTCACTCATGCCTCACTTCCTAGAAAGGTTGTTCTTGCTGAGGCAGAAATATTTGACTCTTTGAAATATTTGGTTATTTTATTTAGGAGCTTCACTTTGGAACAAGTATGTTTGGAGACTGGCATGAGCTTTGATGGTTCTGGCCACAGTCAACTCATTTGTGTGCAGTTGGTAGGACCTGAGAGTCTGTTGCCTCATTAACCATTTCCTCTGCCTTGATATAAATATCATTGTGTATTATGCAGTCATTCCTTTCCCTTGTAATCAAGAACTGATAAGCAAAGCGACTGTAGCTTCTCTGTGTGAACATGTTCAAGATGCAATAGAGGCTTTGTGAGGTGGCTTAAATATACAACAGTTTACTGCTGTTTCAGTGTATCGTTCTATACTGTGTACATGAAAAAGGACTTTATTTTTGTGCTGAATGATTTTTTTCCCCTATAGACTATATACTTTCCATTATTTAATCAACAAAGATGAAATGTGTACCAGTAGATAAGAAACTGTAATTAATTTTGCACTACACAGCAAGCACTTCAACAAAAGATATTTACTTTGCTACTTCTGCCTTGACATCCTCACTTGGTGGGATGTCAGAGGGTAGAAAGCATCAGATGTAGTGGAACAGATTACACCAAAGCCTGTATCATAGACCAAAATATTCTGAAGTTTCTGGTTTCATAAGCATTATGTCGTCATGCTCCAAAACGTTCGTAAGTCACTAGAAAAAGTGTTCAATACGTGCCATAGGTACTTACCCTAACGTACGTAGATTGCAAAATCAAATGCATGAAAAATTAACAAGTGAAAGAAAATTAAGAAGTACAGCAGAAAAATGTTGTTTATATTGGTGTGATGCTAATTCTTAGTAGGTATGTTAATTTTCCTAAGCCCATTTTAGCCTTCTATTTTTATTATTAAAGGAATATTGGCATATAATAAATGTAATGGGAGTAAAATGAGATTTACCCGAGGCCTCTGCTACACATTACACTTAAGACTCGATTAACCAATTAATCATGTCTTAAGCTGTAACCCAGCCACACGTTAAAGCAGTTAATGGTGTCATAAAACAAGGAACAAGCCACAAAGTATTCCACAAAAAAAGTGGAATAACTTTGCGGCTGGTTCTTGTGACATCATTTATTGAACGTGTGGTCAGGTGTACCTCTGCAGCTGGGAGCCTGGATCAGCTGAGAGGGCTCCCAGTAGGGTGCCACTGATGCATTCCCAGAATACAGAACACCCCTTGGTAGTGGTAGGGGAAACCACCAGCCCCCTTAGCCAATCTGCAGTAAGGGGCAGGGCCACCCAAAAAAGCCACCTCCATCCCTCCCTGGCTGGCTGGCTTGGAACTCTGCTTCTCCTGCCTGTGCACCATCCTACCTCTACACACAGCCAATAGAATCTTGAGGACAAATGATTGACTTGTATTTCTACCAATGAACTTAAAAAACAGGACTTTTTGCAGTCCTTTCCTTATTTAGAAATGAACAGGGGAACAAAGCATGTAAAAACAGGGTAATCCAGTATAAAACAGGACCAGTGGCCACCCTAGCTCCCAGCCACGATCCCAAACTTCTCCTGCACCAGCAACAAGGCATGATGGGATCCTATATGCGATCCTACAATCACACCTCCTTCTAATGAATGTGTGTGATTACGTGGATCATGATCAGATCTGATCATGCCTTGACTTGCATGTGTGGAGGGACTCTTACACTCATTTTATTTGACTTATTGTTCAAGCCACAAATATATGTAAGATATAAGCTCTTCATTTTTAGTAGCTTTCACATTTTTTTTCAACCTCTTCAGTGTCTGTAGTTATGAATACTTTTGAACAGAGGGTCAATAACATTGTCTGTTAAAGAACCTTAGGAATCTCTTTGACCTTTTTTTTTTTTTAGTTTTTCCTGTGAATTCATCACTCAACCGTTTCTTTTGCCACTGAAGTAGAAGGAAACTCATGTTTTAAATCTCAAAATAAATCTATTAGTACTTTTCACAGTAAGATGCCCTCAGAAACATTACATTTAATTAATTTATGTGTAGTTGTTATTGTTGCAGGGCAAGTTGGTCTTTGGACCCTTTTATAGCCCCTCATGAGTATACTCCTTGGTCTTGCATCTGTCAGTGAAATCCACTGTCTGGACATATCTGAACTGGATCTCTGAGAGGCAGTCTCCTGTTTCACTGTTATTTTACATTTTTTGGTCCAAATATTCTATTTTGTCTGGAGGCTTATTACCAATGAGATGATTAAAGCAAGGCATAACTGGTTTCTAAAAAAATAATAATTATGTATTTGCCTAAAGAGAGAGAGCACAACATGCAAATGCTAAAAATAAGGCTGTGTCAATCTTCCATAGGTTCCAGTTAATCCCATTCAGGTTTGTTATCTTTGTGCTCCTTCTGAATGTTTCTGCCAGTATTTCCCTACTGGGCAACTTCTGACAGCTCAGTACAATCCCCATTTTTTCTAGGTTCAGGTATGGGGAGAGGTAAATGTGAGCCTATGTGAAGCCAGGGCAAAAGTGTTCCAGAATTAATAGCTTGCACCAATGTTTCTTCAAGAGCCCATAATCTCTGCTTGACAATACTGTATCTTTGTCCTTGTTTTGATTGATTTATTTCCCATAGCGGTCCCCTTTGATTGAATCCCAGATAGCCAGGCAGGAAAATAATCTTGCCTGTAAACTTAGGTTTACATTTATACCAAAAAAAGCCTAACACTGCTCTGTCATTCTCTGCAGCAATAAACTACAGGTTATATGCAGAGCTCTTAATGTGAAGATAGACTGGTAGTTGGTGATCCATAAAATTTACAGCTACATGCATAAAGATTTTAATGCATAATTAATACTTTGAATTTAAGTAGTTTTACCTTTTGGGGATGTAAATTCAGCATCAGTGTTTCATTTTTTCATAATTAGATTTATACAGCCCTTAATGTAATAAAGACTCATAGAACTAAAAAAAATAATTATGTTGTGTTGTCTTCTCCCCTTCCAAACAATCTTTTTGTGTCTGAGTTTGGCAGCCCAAACATACATAGTGGTGCAAGGGTTAACAGGAAATGGAATTATTGAAAACTTTGTAAAGAGCAGTTCATTTTTCTTAAAGTCAAGCAAGCCTCCTTCATGAAACTTCTACACCTGAGAGGTGATTCTAGTGTTTGCATCTGAGGTATGTTTTGTTTTGTTTCTGAGATGTATTTGCTTACGTACCCACCCCTGCAAATCAAGTCAAGAATATTTCAGAGGTACCTAAGGGAACTGGGTGCCAAAATCCTGTTGAAATTCAATGGGAATTGTGTACCCCCCTGTCTTAGGGCGCTTGGAAAATTGCAGTGGCAGCAAAGGCTCATTTGGGTTTAAGATGGGGTGATCTGTGAGGAGCTTATTCACCCTCATCCTCTCTGGACAAACTATTGCCTCTTAAATGGATGATTTCAGTGTCTTCAGGACCATCATGTGTTTCAGGTCCTTCAAACATCTTTGGACAGGATAATGAACCTTCAGAGTCCATATCCTTCTTCAGACGGACAGATGTAGCTGTGTCCCCTTATTAAAGAGCCAAAATAATGTGGCTGGCTACTTGCCCCCTAACCACTAGAAGGGTGGATAAAAAGTATCAAGTTCCTTGAAAGGAGAACTTGGTAGGAGAGTATTTTTACATTTGCTCTTTTCCTTCTTCCTTGTATTCATCATTACCAAAATTTGTCATCATTATCAGTAATTTTGATCAACCCAAAAAAGTGACAGAGAGAAAAACCTGTTTCAAGGAAAACTCTTCTACTAGTCTCCAGTTTTAAAGTACATGTTATCGGACTCTTCTCAGGTATGATTTTTTTTATATACACCTATACTAAAGTTTCTGGTTCCGTATCACTGGAACACAAGAAA